CTCCTGCTCTTCTTCAAAAATAATTCACGGAATCTTTCACGATGAGCTTTGATTACGGAAAGGGTCTAGGTTTAACACCTAGTCTCCAGGCTCTGGAATAGCCTCCTCACACTCTCCACTTTCCTCCTTTAAGGTGCTCCTTAAAGTCTACCCTTTTGACCAAACCTTTTGATAGCTCCCTTTTTCGGGTCAGATTGGGCAAAGAAGTAGTAGATGGAATACAATGTGGGAAAGTGTGAGGTTATGCACTTCTGGTTGGAAGAATATGTTCTAAACAGGCAAAGGCTTCAGAAATCTGAAGCACAAAGGGACTTAGTTCTGATGGCGGAGGATGTTGAGAGAAAGGCCTAGCTATCTCTGTGGAGTCTTCTCTAGGGGGCTGTGGTGACCATGATTACTGGAGACTCCACGATCCACATGCACAATGCCCCACCCTTGATGTCCCTGCTGAAAGGTATCAACCTTTAATTTCTGGGGCCTACCTGTCACTGGGCAATCTCTTGATCTCTTATCTTCCCTCTAAGTGTGCCTAAATATCTCCTCCCAGAGGCATCTGTGGTGGCCACTTCCATAATCCCAATTTCCTGCACTAATATCCTGCACTAATATCTCACTTTTGCCCAGCCTCATCTTTCACTAACAATGCCAACCCCACCTACTTTTCTGTTATGCCTGTCTTTCCTAATGATTGAATATCCTTGGATATACCCAGCCTTGGTCACCCCACATCCCTGTCTCTTCATTCTCAATCATATCGTACTCATTTACAACTATCTGTGCTGTTAATATCTTTACCTTATTGCAAATGCTTTGTGCATTCAGATGCAGTACCTTTAGACTTGTCTTTTTGACATTTCACAATGTTGATGTACTCCTGCTCTATTTGATGTCTGCCCTTGTTTTCTCTGCCTTCTACTTTTGTTTTCCACTTATTGCATTTTTGTTTCTCTCACTCTTGTCTCCCTGTTCAGGTTCTCAGATCCCATCCTCCCCAGAAGAGGTTCCAATGATTCCAGAATCTAAATCCTTCCCTCCTGCATAATCCCTTGAGCCACACATTCAGTTAGGCTATTCTGCTATTCCTGATCTCACTGGGATTGGGAATAATCCTGAGATTACTACCGTTCAGGTCCTGCCTTTTAATTACTTTCGTATCTCCCTATATTCTGCTCTTTGCCAACTTTTTTATTACCATTAGTACAGACATGGGCACCACTTCTGGCTGTTCCCTCTCACCCTTCACAATGTGCTGCAGCCACTCAGTGATGTATTTGACCAGGGAGGTAACTAAAGAACTGTCTGTGATGAAAGAACTGGTTAACTTTACCCCTTACAGTAGAGTCCTTTATTGTGATTGATCTCTCGCTCTTCTCATTGTTCCACAGATGTGGCTCACATTGCAATCCCTCAAGAAACCATCACCCCAAGCAGTCCCCAGAATGGAAAATCTGAGAGACCTGGCACCTCCTGCCTGATGCTTTTATTCTGTCTGGTGGTCACCTATTCTCTTTCTGCCTGTGCACTCTTTACCTCTGGCATGACCACTTCATCATGAATGCTATGCTCAAATATCTCAGCCTTGCAAAGATACACACGTATAGAGTTTGTTATTTCACACAGACAGTTGTGTTATGAGCATTGACCTCTGGTGGTGTAGCAAGGAAATGATCTTGACATCATAGAATTTAAGGAGAATCAGTGTCCGAAGTGAATTCTGTGCGATATCTTGAGTTCACATTAATTCAGTCTGTGTTGAGTTCCAACACTGACTAAACGCAATCTTAAATTTGCGTCTAGTAAATACCAATTGAATAGCTGATAATTTGTTTATGGTGGAGTTAGTTAATAGATATATGTTGGCCTGGGTAATACTCCTGCTCTTCTTCAAAAAATGTCCTAGAATCTTTTACGTCCCATGTTGAAGAAGATGAAGAAGAGGTGACTTACATAGATTATAAACACTTGCATTGACTGGCTGGGCCAAATGGCCTGATCCTGCACTGAAGGTGCTACACAATCCACCCCAAGAGGGACATCACTCTACATCTGAAGTAGAGTGAATCTAATGATGTAGCACAGTCTGTGTCCATACACAGCAAAATCTGGATAACATTCAGACTTGGGATGATAAGTAACAAATTACATTCACACACACAAGCCACAAAAGTGAATCTAACTACCTCTCCTTGACATTCAATGGCAATACTATTGTTGAATATCCCCCCATCAACATCCTAGTGGCTATCATTGACCAGAAGTTGAAACAGGCTTTATTCATGTAAATACTGTGACTACAAGTGCACATCAGAGGCTAAGATCTGTATAGACAGTAACTCATCTCCTGTCTCCCCAAAGTCTGACATCTACAAGATACGAATCAGGAGTGTGATGGAATACTTCTCACTTGCCTGGATGAGTGCAGCTCCAATAACACTCTGGAAGCCCAATACCATCAGGAGAAAGCAGTCTGTTTGAGTGGCACCACGTTTACCAATTTAAACATTGACACCATGAATCACCATCGCAAATTCCCAATCACCTAATAGATGCATATAGCAACTCACCAAGGCTCCTTAGACAGTACCTTCTAAACCCATGACCACTACCGTCTAGAAGAACAAAGGTAGCACAGGAACACTACCACCTACAAGTTCCCCTCCAAGTCACCCATCATCCTGACTTGAAAATATATCATTGCTCATTCAGTGTCACTGGGTCATCATCCTGGAACTCCCTCTCTAACAACATGGACACATGGATTGCACACATGGACTGCGGTGATTCAACCACCACCGTCTCAAAGCGAAGTTAGGGATGATGGACAGTAAGTGCTGGCCTAGTCAGCGACGCCCACATCCCATTAACAAATAGAACAAAGAACAAAGTTACAGTACAGGAACAGGCCGTTCGGCCCTCCAAGCCTACACCGACATGTTGCCCATCACAACTAAAACCCCCTACCCTTCCGGGGACCATATCCCTCTATTCCTATCGTATTCATGCATTTGTCAAGACGCTCTTTAAAAGTCACTATCGTATCTGCTTCCACTACCTCCCCCGGCAGCAAGTTCCAGGCACCCACCACCCTCTGCGTAAAAAACTTGCCTCGTACATCATCTTTAAACCTTGCCCCTCACACCTTAAACCTATGCCCCCGGTAACTGACTCTTCCACCCTGGGAAAAAGCTTCTGACTGTCCACTCTGTCCATGCCCTTCATAATCTTGTAGACCTCCATCAGGTCGCCCCCTCAATCTCTGTCATTCCAGTGAAAACAACCCAAGTTTCTCCAACCTCTCCTCATAGCTAATGTCCTCCATACCAGGCAACATCCTGGTAAATCTTTTCTGTACCCTCTCCAAAGCCACCACAACCCTCTGGTAGTGTGGCGACCAGAAGTGAACACAATATTCCAAATGTGACCTAACTGAGTTTCTACAAAGCGGCAACATTACCTGCCGATTTTTAAACTCAATGCCCTGGCCGATAAAGGCAAATATTCCATATGCCTTGGTGACTACTTTTTCCACCTGCATTGCCACCTGTGTACCTGTACACCCATATCTCTCTGCCTATCAGTACTCTTAAGGGTTCTGCCATTTACTGTATATTTTCCATCTGGATTAGACCTTCCAAAATGCATTACCTCACATTTTTCCAGATTAGACTCTATCTGCCATCTCTCTGCCCAAGTCACCAACTGATCTATATCCTGCTGTATCCTCTGACAGTCCTCATCGCTATCTGCAATTCCACCAACCTTTGTGTAATTTGCAAATTTACTAATCAAACCAGTTAAATTTTTTTCCAAATCATTTATATCTATTACAAATAGCAAAGGTCCCGTCACTAATCCCTGAGGAACACCACCAGTCACAGCCCTCCATTCAGAAATACACCCTTCCACTGCTACCCTCTGTCTTCTATGACTGAGCCAGTTTTTTTATCCATCATGCAAGCTCACTTCTGACCCCATGTGACTTTACCTTCTGTATCTGTCTGCCATGAGGGACTCGTCAAATGCCTTACTGAAGTCCATGTAGACAACATTTTAATGTCATCTAGTCTTCAACTGGATGACAAATAAGGCAAAACAATTTTAAATTCACTTCCCATCTGAAAATGGCATGGGGCTCCCAGAGGTGAGGCCTAAATTTTGTTTTAGACTAAGGTTGCAAGATAGCGTCTCAAGAAGGAAGCCAGCAGAGTTCATTTCTGCTGCCGCTTCTGGTTTGGAGAGCCTCCTATTGCCTTTTTCTTTTTTAATTTGTGGGATGTGAGTATCACTGTGGCAGGACCAGCATTTATTGTCCATCTCGAATTGCTCTGGAGATGATGGTGGTAATCTGCCTTCTTGAATCCGCTGCAGTCCATGTGCTGTAGTTAAACACACAATGATGTTAGGGAGAGAGTTCCAGGATATTGAACCAGCCACACTGCAAGAAAGGTGATATATTTCTAAGTCAGGATCTTCTTTTTAGTGTTAGGCAGCTCCTCAAAGTTGAGAATGACTTTCTCCTACTCCAGACTTGTGTGCTCTGAGGTGAACGAACAGTCCAATTGCTACCCTGTAGATGTGAGCTGGGTGTTGGTTTGGAGGTCAGGATGGTGTGTGGCCTGGAGGGGAACCTGGCTTGGTGACGGTTACATGTTTCTGCTGCAACTCTATTGCTCCTCCACCTTCCAGAGCCCGTCTAGTCTTCAACTGGATGAAAAAACTGCCATTTTTGGCAGATTTAAAGGAAGTCAGTGCCTGGGGACATCTCTGACACTGTGCAGGTTTGTCAGGAAGTCTGTGTAGCCCTAATGTTGGGATCACAACCCAAAATATAATACCTTGGCTGAGTTTTAGTTTTGGACGTTACTTTAGGTATGAGAATGATCAGTATGGAAAGATGGTCACTTCATGAGTAGTTCGATGGTCATTTTAGGCCAATGGTCGCTATGGGTAATGTCCACTGTGAGTGATGGCAACTTGAAATTCAAAGGCAGGAGATCATCTTTTTCTTACAAGTTTACCTTTTTATTGAATTCGACCCAGGTACAGAATAGAAACTCAGAGAGAAAGGGACAATGATAACTGTTTGCCACCTGGCTTTGCAGCAAGATATGCGAGTGCGTTAAAATGTCTCTTTTTATCAAAGCCATCGTTTGCAAGTTAAACTGAAAACCACATTCTTGCAACAAACGTGGTAACATCTTGTGTGAAGCTCACTACACCCATCTTGACCCCCAACCCACACAATCTCTACTCAGCCCCTCCCACAGTGATTCAGAATTTGGTGTGTGAGGAGAAACTTTGAGCTTTGGCTGATGTTCCAGTTCTCAGTGGATTTGTTTATTTTGGAATGGAAACATTTACAGAAAGTTACAAATTCATTAATGCTCCCATTTTAGGTTTTTCCCTTTTTTCTCCCTCAGTTTTCTTTTCCTCCCCTCAGTTTCTCCTTTGTCTTGCTCCTTCCCCTCCCTTGATTACCCCTCCCTCTTTCTTTCTACCTCCTTAAGTTGGCCTCTCTTCAGTTTTCACCTTCCCTCCCTTGGTTACTCCCTTCCTTAATTTTCCCATCCCCCTCCCTCAGTTACCTCTCTCCTCCTCCCTTGATTAATCCTTTCCCTCAGTTTTCCTTTCTCCCTCCCTTAAACTCCCTCTCCTTCAGTTTTCCCCAATTTTCTCCCTTTGTTACCCCTCTCCCTTAATTTTTCCTCCCCGTCCTTCAGTCACCTCTCTGTCCTTCTTCAGTTTTCCTTCCATCCTCCTCAGTTACCCCTTTGTCTTACTCCTTCAGTTTACCCCTTTCCTACACTCTTGGTTTCCCCCTCTTTCAGATTTCCTAGCTAACCCCTCCTTCAATAACTCCCATCTCCCTTGGTTTTCCCCCTTGGATACCTCTCTCCCTCGGTTATTCTATTCTTCCTCCCTCAGTTGCATCTCTCCCCTCAGTTTTTCTCTCCCCCAACTCCTTTGGTTGACCCCTTCCATAACTTGCTTCTCCCCTTCCCTTTGTTACCCCTGTGTGTTTCCCCACTCCTCCCTTGGTTCCCCGGCACCATCTTACATCAGCGATTTCTTGGAGTTCCTCATACCAAATCTGTGGAGGTGAAACCACCAGCATATGCTTTCAAATACAGCCCAAATCTCACATCAGGTGAATAGACCAATGTTTACAGCCATCACGAGACTAGCCATGTTTGACTGTCATACATCAAAGGATGTCTACAACCACATTTGACAACCCTTATGTAAAGCTACTCTTCTGAGATTAGGATTAGCCTTCACTTCATGTCTATACTTAATGTGTGTAGCCATGCTTGCCCACTGGAAAATGTCTCATACTTCGCCCCAGAAATCAGCCACTTAATGGGTGCTTCTGGCCGAAGGTGACACAGGGTTGGGGGCGAGGGTGGGTCAATGGGGCCTCTTGATTCAAAGTGTTTCGATTTACACTGAAAGCCAGATGTGAGTCCCTCCTGTTGGTTGATGGGTTAGATCTTCTTGGGTTTCCGTCCAACTTGTAAATAATAGAAAAGTGACAAGACCCCAAATATTGCGCAACTCAAGAGCAAGAATCCCACATCCTGAGAAAACAAGCCTTGATCCATGGCTGAAACCAGTGTCACTGTAAGGAAACAGACAGAATTAACAGTTAAAGGACTTCCTCAGCCTCACAAGGGTCTACAGTAGATCCATCAAAAAATTTATACAAAATTATAAGTCACATCTCAGAGTGAAAGGTTTGATAGATCATAGTTTTACTTTTGCAGTTTGATTACCACAGTGGTTAGCCACTGAATATGCTCTTATGAGGCTGCCGATGTTTTTAAAAAAAAAAGGCCTACTGCACAAAAAAAGGAAACAAATAATGCTATACATCTATAAGACAATTTAGAAAGATGTTAGCATAATTAGCAAAAAGAAAGATTCAAACTTTTACCAGGAATATCCTTCACAGATATTCAATGAAACATCACTCTTATTTTAACTCTTTAATTTCTTACTTAACTGACATTTTCCAGTGTTGGTGGACTGTAGGTTTATTTTCCAGTTCTGAGGGCCTGGATTCCTTTTCAGCTCTGACAGCCAGGAGATTTCCCCAAGGTCTTATATCCTGGAGATTTTACAAACAAACAACCTGCTCTTCTGCTGGGATGAAGCTGCTCTTTTGATCTGAAACCTGACTCTTCCAAACTACTAATGGACCCTGACCATTTGTTTTCCTGAACATTAAAGAACTCAGCATTGTAAACACTTTTCCAATTGATTCTATGTTAGGCACTTAAATTAAGTCACATGCTTGCTTGGAAATTATGTCATCAGTTCACTATTCCGAATAACTTTATGACCTCTTTAAAGAAAAAGTTACCTTCACAAAGCGAAAAGCAAAATCTAAATTTCTTACACGTTAAAATCCAAATTCCGAATAATAATAATATACTTTGCACATTTATTACAAAATTTAATCACCAACCATAGTTAAAACTACCCCTGAAAACTCAATGCATATTAAATACTTCCTTTTTTGCTTTAATTCTTTATAAACCCTTCAAAGGCTCAGTCTGTAATGCCCTAGATGTCAGAGGGTTCTGGGTTCTTATACAGTTCTAGAGACTTGAATGCAAAATCCTGGTTTACATCTCAGTGCAAAAGGAACACTGCATTGTTGAAGAGGCTGTAACCTGAGTCCCTGCCTTGCATTAATATAGCATCCTTCACATCTTCAGGATGACCCAAAGCACTTTCCAGCCATTGAAATACTTTTGAAGTGTGGTCACTGTTGTAATGTCAGAAATACAGCATCCAATTTATGTCCGACAAATTTCCACAAACACGAATATAACAATGATGAATTGTAGTGAAGTTGGTTGAGGGCTAAATATTGACCCAGGACACTGGGGACAACTTCCCTGTTGCTCTTCAGAAATAGTGCCATGAAATCGTTTTGGAAATCAGCTGGGGGCCTACACTTAATAACCCATCCAAAACACAATATGGCACTTCTGACAGGGCTGCATTCCATCAGTAGTACACTAGGAGTGTTGGCTTGGATTTGCTTTGATCAACAATGACTGGGAAAACCTGCATTTGTGATGCTGATCTGTAGCCAATGTGGCTTTTCTCTCTGCGCCGACCAGTCATCCCAATCTGAGCTAGTTCCATTTGCCTGCGTTTGGCTCATATCCCTCTAAACCCTTCCTATGCTTGCTGTAGGTAGAATCAATGAGTTAAGAAGGGGGTTAGTATATGAATTCACGTACCTTCACTACCTTTTTCTAAAGAAGTCATAAAGTTACTTAGAACAGTGAACTTAATGACATGATTTCCAAGAAGGAAGTGAATTAACTTAAGTGCCTAACAATATAGATGCAGAATCAATTGGATTAAGAAGTATTTAAATTCACATACCTAGAAACTCCACAACAAAATAGCAGGTCTCTGATAGAAGTGTCCATCGAATAATCGCCTTCTCGGATGTGTAAAAGGCATTCCATAGGATCAGAGCAATGCCTTTGCGCAAATTAAAAAGAAACATCTTAGTCAAATTTTAGAAACACCCGAATATGAAGCATGGGGAATGTAACAGTACCGAGACAACCATAATTTATCTTGTGTCTCCTGTTCTTTTATGCTTGCTTTACACTAGGAGGTTTTCTGGTGCAGTGGGTAGTGTCCCTCACTCTGAGCCAGCAGCTTCATGTTCAAATTCCACTCCAGGACTTGACAGCTGAAGGACGGTGCATTCATAACACAGGCAAACAGGTTGAGTATCAATCTGTAAATCTTTCCAATGCATGCCAATGGCAAGAGTGGGAGGGGCTACTTGTCATTTGGCCATGGATGTAAATTCCAAATGATGGTAAGGAAGTGGGAGATTCTGCTGTCACTATCCACAGCTCCACATTACAAGATTTTATGTAAAAGTGCCTATTAAGGCAGCAGCTGTTCAGCAGGGCCAGTTGGCTGGATGTCCATGTGGGTCAGATTGATACCAACAACATGGACTTTGATCCCCATTCTGGCTCAAATGAACACAGGATCCAACTCCTTGCCCTAACTGCTGTGAAGATTATGGAGCTGTGGACGGATACTTCTGAAGTGGACTTGAAAGGTTAACTCTGCTTTTTCTCTTCGCAGATGCTACCAGATCTGCTGAGTTTCTCCAGCAGTTTCTCTTTTTGTTTCAGATTTCCAGTACCTGCACTTCTTCATTTCGTTTTGTTTCCTTTACTTGGTGGTTGGTTTATTTACAGCGTACAGCATTCCATACATCTGTCTCCTGCCTACCTAAACAGTGTCCCAGAAACATCTCTTTACACACAACTTTTGAAATTCAAATAAACTGAACGGGACCAAATTAACAGGTGACAGCCCCTTGAAGATAAGGTCCCGAAGGAAGCTTACAAAGTTAAAAGTGATTTTTAGATGCGGGGCACACTCCAGCCCCAGTGATGCCCACCAGTTGCAGATAATTTATACCCCATCAGCTACCAAGGCCCAGAGGGCACATTGCTGAAGGTCTGGAGTCACATGTAGGCCAGACTGGGTAAAGACGGCAGTTTCCTTCCCCAGAGGACGTTAGTGAACAGATGAGTTTTTCTGGACAATTGAAAATGGATTCATGGTCATTAGACTCTTAATTCCAGATTTTTTTTTAATTGAATTCAAATTCCACCATTTGCCATGGCAGGATTCAAACCTGGGTCCCTAGAACATTAGCTGGGTCTCTGGATTAACGTTCCAGTCTAGCCATAATACCACCAGGCCATCGCCTCTCCAGTTGTATCAAGAAAGAGATTTGTGTCTCATTTCATACTTCATCAACTGACTCGGGGATCCATCAATTTAACATTCAATTTGCAACATGCGACCTACTGAGTAATGCGCCACTGTGCAGTCGGAGAGATGCGATGCAGGACAACTTGTAATCTCCCTGGAACAGCCAACTATGCAGCATTCTTGGAAACACCAGAGCCTAGAGCAGGAAGGAAACAATGCATTTAATCTCCGGCTGTTCAGAGAAAGGAACTGCCTCATGTTCAGAATGCCTTCATGCTACTCCTTCTTTTCAAAATAAAAATTTTAATCTGCTTTGCTCACTGCTTCATGTCACTCCATTTTGTTAGATGCAATCCTCCACTCATTGCATTTTGCTGCAGAATATTACTACCTTAATTGCAAAACATACAATTCTGAAATATATTAGATCCTGACGCGACTTGACCGGGCGGATGGTGAAAGGATGTTTCCTGTTGTGGGAGAATCTAGAACTGGGGGTCATAGTTAAAAATAAGAGGGTGCCCATTTAAGGCAGAGATGAGGAAACATTCTTTTCTTTCAGAGGGTTGTGAGTCTTTGGAATTCCCTTCCTCAAAAGGCAGCAGATACACAATCTTTAAATATTTTTAAGGTAGAAGTAGATAGATTCCTGATTACCAAGGGGATGAACAGTATCAGGGGTAAGCAGGATGTAGATTTGGGATTAAAATTAGGTCAGCAATGGTCTTATTGAATGGCGGAGCAGGCTTGAAGGGCCGAGTGGCCTACTGTTGTTCCTAGTTCATATATTCCTAAAACATTGTCGTAGTTTTTGGTCATGAGAGCTATTTGCCATAGTTTAAAGAGGCTTAGCTTAAAAAGACACCATTCGCTGAGTATATAAACTGTCTGGTGTAGTGTAATGTTTAATTAGAATCATAGAGTCATAGAGGTTTACAGCATGGAAACAGGCCCTTTGGCCCAACATGTCCATGCTGTGCAGTTTTCACTCACCAAAGGATGGCCACTAAATGCTGACCTTGCAAATGATGCCCATGTCAGCTGAATGAATAAAAAAATTCATGGACAAACCCTCAATTACAACAATGTGGAAGGTGGTTGCATCCCCTTTCTTGATGTTGCTGCTTTCAGATATTTTCTTGAAAGCATTTATTTAAAAAATTATATAAAGGAAGCCTGTGTCTGGTGACATACCATAGGATTTGGTGTTGGGTCTCTTGCTGTTTATTGTGTACATTAAAGATCTAGACATGAATGTAGGAGAAATGACAACTAAGTTGGAAGATTACATGAAAATGGATGGTGCAGTAACTAGCTAGGAGGAAAGCCTTAGATGGTTGGACAAAATGGATGGGCTGGTCAGATGGGCAGAATAGTGGCAAATGGATTTTAATCTGGATAAGTGTGATATCTTGCATTTTCAGAGGATGAACATAGCAAGGGAGTACCCTTGAATGGTAGGACCCTAGGAAGTGCAGAGTGTCTGAGGGATCTTGATATGCATGTCCACAGATCCTTGAAGGCAACAGAACAGGTGGATAAGGTGGTTAAGAAAGCATATGGGATGCTTGCCTTTATTTGTGGAGACAATGAATAATGGAGGAGGGATGTTCTGCTGGAAGATGTTAATTAGGCCGTAGCTGGAGTACTCTGTACAGTCTTGTCACCACATTGTGGGAAGGATATGATAGCATTAGAGAGGGTGCAGAAGAGCTTTACCATGATGTTGCCTGGGCAGGCGTGCTTCAGCTATGAAGAGAGTCTAGACAGGCTGGGATTGTTTTCCTTCGAGTAGAGAAGACTGAGGGGAAACCTGATTGACATCTGCAAAAGTCTGAAGGGTATACTAGGGTAGATAAGAAGAAAGTTTTGTCCTTAGTAGAGGGCTCAATATTCAGGGACTGTAGATTTAAGATAAGGGATCAGAGATTTGGAAGGGATTTAAGGGAGAAATATTTTCAATCAGAAGGTAGTCAGTATCTTGAATTCACTGCCTTAAATGGTGACAGCGATGGGAACCCTCACAACATTTAAGAAATATTTAGATGAATGCTTGAAGCATGGGCTCAGGGTTGGAAAATTGGACTAGAGTAGAGTAGAGTAGAAAGATGTGCAGGTTAGGTGGATTGGCCATGCTAAATTGTCCCATTATATTGAGGGATGTGCAAGCTAGGTGGATTAGTCATAGTAAATGAGGGGTTATGGGGAGAGGGTGGAGAGTGGGTCTGGGTGGGATGCTCTTTGGAGAGTTGGTGCAGACTCGATGGGCCAAATGGCTTCTATCTGCACTGTAGAGATTCTGTGATTGTAGATAGATGTGTGATGACCAGAGCAGACACATGGACTGAAGGACTTCTTTCCATGCTGTACAACTCCATGACTGCATGTTGCTATTTGTTCCAATGAACTCATTTACAATCATCCAGTAATATTCAAAAGGCTCGCATAGAAGAACTTGAACTGACCAGAATTCCAGCAACAGAAAAGATGACTGCTGAGATGAACTGCCAGTACCTGAAAGACAAGAAGCAATGTGGAACAATGTTAGGTTGTTCACTGCAGTTGCACTTGTTAATTCAGCAAAGTAGGGATAAAGCATGGAGCTTTTGTTCAGTCAACCGGGCAAGGATTGTTTGATTGGTAATCTGGTCTGACCCTGTCAAAGCTTCTAATTCCAGTTCTGCTTTAGTGTGTCAATATCATACAATGTTATTTCTATTTTGCCGACATTTATATGGTAATTGGGGTGGTCATGGTGTCGTGGTAATGTTACTAGATTGCTAAACCCAGAGGCTCTGACTGGTGGCACAGGTTCCACACCCTCTCTGGGGTTTAAATTAATATTTGGAATAAAAAGCTTTGCTTGACAATGGTGACTGTTGTGTAAGGTAATGGCTTTGAAGGAATTAATGCTAAGTTGCAAGAAGCTCCACCTGGTCTTTGAGTGGAGAATCAGGCTGCCTTATACAAACTCCCAAATGGGTCAGGCATGACACACCCAGCCATTGATAATTGTGAACTAAAGTCTTACATGCTGAAAGAAAAGCAGAAATTGCACAGGTCCCTTTTAGGCGTCTCTGGACATGAAATGTTAATTTTCTTTTCTCTCCACAGATGCTGAGTTTCCCCAGCAATTTCTGTTTTTGTTTCAGATCTTCAGCATTAGCATCTCTTTGTTTTATCTTTCGATGCTAATTTGGTTGTCTGTTTTATTTATTTGAAATAGTAGAGTGGCAGCAGTCTACCTCAACTGCCCAGCACTCAATACAACAGTGACCATGAGAATTATCTTCAACTGTTGCAAACATCCCATCTGGTTCATTAATGCTGTAGAGTCGTAGAGTCATACAGCACGGAAACAGACCCTTTGATCCAATCAGTCCACGCCGACCATAATCCCAAACTAAGGTGGTCCCATCTGCCTGCACTTGGCCAATTCCCCTGCAAACAGTTTGTATTCATGTACTTATCCAAATGTCTTTTAAATGTTGTAACTGTACCACATCCGCCACTTCCTCTGCAGGTTCATTCCACACACAAACCACTCTTAATGCAAAAGAATTGCCCCTCATGTCTTTTTCAATTCTTTTGCCTCTCACTTTAAAAATGTGCCCCTCATCTTGAAATCCCCCACTGTAGGAAAAAGACACCTCCTATTTACCTTATTTATGCCCCTCATTATTTTATAAACCTCTATAAAGTCACCTCTCAACCTCCTATGCTCCAGTAAATAAAAAGCCCCAGCCTATCCAACCTCTCCTTTTAACTCAAACCCTCCATTCCTGGCAACATGCTGGTAAATCTATTCTGAACCCTCTGTCATTTAGGGAAGGTAGCTGTATGGAGTATTTTTATTCTGTAGAGTTATAGGGAACTTGAAATTCAGTCTTGTTTCATATTGTAGAATGTCCTTTCTTTCAAATATTCAGAATTAAACCTGGTTTTAGAGTTTTATGCAAAGGTTGTAACTCTACCTCTGGTCAGAAACCTCAGGACTGTGTTTGCTTTGACTGGGTCGACCCCACAATGATTTAACAAGAGAGTGGGCCATTAATCAGATGAGGCTGTGACATCCACCCCATCTGGTAAAATCCCAGTGGAGGTGAGAAGGCAACAGCCTATTCCTACGGCATCCACTTTGCAATGTTACCCCATCTCCTAAACCCACCTTCCAGCTCACTCATGGTGGGACTTAAAATTTCACCCTAGATTGCTGCTAGCTACACTTTAAAGGAACGGTCATTTTGTGTTTGCAAATTGGAGATTGTGAGACAGGCACAAATATATGGGCTGAATGGCCCGCTTCTGTGCTGTACATTTCTATGATATACTGTGTGGAGAATGTATCAGAGGTATCAGCCTCTGCTTTTGTTATTATCTATAAACAGATCAAGGTGTCAGACTTGCTTCAGGGTTAAAAAACATTTCTGCGAAATGTAAGGGCATAGTTTTCTGTTTGGCGGAAACTTACTGTGCCTTAAGCAGTAATTTAATACAAAAACAACTCAAACACTGTTACTGACCTGGGTTGGTACTGAGTTGATACTGCATCCCATCTGAATCAGAAGCTTGTGGGATGAAATCTCATTCCAAAGACTTGGGCACAAAAGTCAGACCGACACTAATATGCATTTACTGACAGAATTAGGATAAAGCTGGAGCTACCATCATTTTACCAGACCATAGTGCTGCTCTCTCATTAGAGTGAGATGGTGGTGGCTTAAGAGTCACCACACCTCAGGCAAGGGGAGAGTTTGAGAAGGAGAGTCCTTTATGGGTAACCTCAGCTGTGCTGCACTGTCAGAAGGTCAGTACTGAGGGAATGCTGGACCGTTGAAGAATCAGTAGTAAGAGAATGCTGCACTGTCAATGGGGCAGTAATGTGAGAGTGTCATGCTGTTGGAGAGTCTGTATGGCAAGAGCGCTGCACTGTTGGAAGGTCTATACTGCAACAGTGTTCCCCATCAGAGAGTCAGTACTGAGAAAGCACTGTATTGTTGAAGGGCAGTTCTGAGTGAGCGCTGCACTGTCAGAAGATCAGTATTGCAGGAATGCTGCAGAATCAGAGCGGTGATACTGAGGGAGCATTGCATTGTTGGAGGGACAATATTGAGGCAGCACTGCACTGTTGAAGGGGCAGTACTGCGAGAGTACTGCACTGTTTGAGGGTTTGCACTGCAAGAGCGTTGTGCTGTTGAAAGGGCTGTTCTGCAATACAGTCATTTATTTTTTCATTTGAGTTTAAATGTTGAGGTTTGATCATTTTTAATTCATTACCTGAGTCCAAACGGCTCATGAAGAGCAAACTTGAATTCATTTCCCAACATCTGGCTGATCTGTGAGAGAAAATGAAAAAATATTAAACCAGTTGGATTATGTACATGACATGACTGATCCCTGAATGTCCCTCAAGGGCTTAGCGAAAGATCTTAGTTGTATCAAACTACTGCCACTGCAGAATTTTAAGAAGTCTCAATATCACCTCTCAAAGAAAGGATGGACAATTAATGCCAATATTGCTATTAATGTTGACATCCAAAGATCAACTCTAAAAATAGCATCCTGTGAGGTGTTATATAAGAGATGTAAGGGTTAGGTGTGCCTTAAGCACCACTGACAATGATGATTTTATATGGACCCAGGGATGTCATGAAGCCACAATTAAAGTGATAAAGGGGCATATCCAAAGCCTGAGCAGACAAGGTTTAATGGATAAACAAACTTAGGAGATTTTATTAAGGCTGTAGACCAGACATGCCATTCATTATTACAACCGTGCTAAAGGCAGGATACATTTATTGAAATCACAGACACTGGAAATTATTTTGGAAAAACCCCATGAAAGAAATAGGGATTATTATTAAAGCCATAGACAGCAGGAATCAGCCAGAACAAAAAACTGATGGAAGCAGAATTTGTTACTAAAGCTCCAGGCAATGGGAAACATCCAATAAAGAGTTTAAGGAACTAGGAACCTTTATTTAGGCTGAAAACAGTAAGATTCAACCAGTGAAGTGACAAAAAAAGGCAGGAATTTTGACCACAAAAATAGGGGAAGCCCTCCAGAAGTGGTGGAGATCAACAGCCCTGCTATTATTGCAAAATTAAAAACCTTTTAAGCCAGGAGAATAAATAATTAGGAAAGCATGGCATCAGAAATAATATTGCCAGGAGGATTTCAGAGATGGGCCAAATGAAACACTGAATTGGACACCTTAGAGAAAACATTTCTTAAGAAAATTCTAAGTTTGTTACTATATCAGAAGTTGAACAAGCTCATATACTTCTATATACAATTGGGAGTATAGCCAATAACATTATAGCTTGCCAAGATGTAAATGAAACAACAGATACTTATGAAGAAATACTGAAAGCGTTTGACAATTATTTTTACCTCAGAACAAATAAAATTCTTAAAAGAGCTAGATTAAAGAGAAGTGCTCAGAATTCAGAAAACTCCATGGATAATTTAATTAATAATCTCAACATTAATGTAGAAATTGTGATTTAAAAACAGAATTAAAAAGAGACTAATTTATTGTTAGAATTTCTAATGACTCTTGGTCAGATTTATTACAGTCAGAAGAAGATTTGATTCTAGTGAAAGCCATTCAGATGGTGTGTGAAGTCAAAGTCTGGAAGCAGCACAGATGAACATAAAAAGCAAAGGATCATCTTTACCGCAGGAGGTCAGCAGAATCCATTCAATTCTTAATGTGCGTACAGCTACAAGAGACACACTTGTAAGATCAGAAAAGATCAGAAACTAAAGGTAATTGTCAATGCAATGGAGCAAGAAAACTTCACAGTCACAAGCAGCACTAAAATATTGGAAAGGAATACTTTATCTTCAATAGAAAAGGTTACTTTCAGAGAATCTGCTGAAGTAGGCATAATCAAAAAAGCAAGAAGTCACAAATAAGTTAATTATATAGAACAATCTACAATTGAAGAAATATCTAAAGTGTCCCTAGGAGGAAATAGGTGATCTAGACCAGTACCTTTGACAAAAGGGTATTTATATCAATGGGCACCTCACTAATTTCAAGATTAATGCTGGTGCCAGTGTCACTGTATTATCAGATAGTGAAACATGGTTGAAAGCATACTGTCTACAGTTGACTACATAATCAGGGAGATATAGCAGCTCAGATTAAGATATGCTACAAGTTACTCTCAACACAAAGGGCATCACATAGCAGAGAACTTATACATATTCCATAAATAATAATGAAACAACAATAATAATACTATATGAATGCGTGTTTAGACTTTGGTCTTCTTCAAATGATGTAAGGTATAAAACTAGATACGGTCAAGAGACAACTGTTTCAGGAACAGGCAATCATGGAACAACAGATCAAGGAATATTCAGTTAAGGATCAGCTGGTCATGGAGCAACAGCTGATGAAAGATTTCACGCAGCTATGCTCATGATGGAATCCACACTGAAAGTAGAATACATTGAGATTAACTATATTGGCCAAAGAAGTATGTTTCATGCTGTCAATGGGAGACAGTGGTCTGAAAGTCATAATCAACTCAACCAAATACGACAGAAGCAGAAGAGAGATCAAATATGTCTCAGCATTCATCAGTATTGTGTTGAAGGCTGGCCAAACAAAGGCCCTACAGGTTGTCCATGAAATCATATTTTGAGCAGTGACAGCAGTTCACAATCATGGCATATGATTAAAGGCTGATTATTGCCATGTTCTCTTTGGGAAATCAAGAATGGACAATAAATGCCAGCCTTGCCAGTAATGGCCACATCTTGAGAACAATGATAAAAGTATAATCCTGTAAGGTGTGGCAGAAGGGTGTAAGGGTCTGAAAGGGGCACTTTAAGCACCACCCACAACGATGGTGTGATGTGGGCTTGGTGGGAGGACAGTTTAGAATCTCAAATGAATGAGACATAAAATCCAGGTCCTCCTCTCTAACATTGTCAAAGAACAAAGAACAATACAGCACAGGAACAGGCCAATTGGCACACCAAGACTGCGCCAACACATGATGCCTTTCTAAACAAAAAATCCCTTTGCCTCTAAGCAGTCCATTTCCTTCAATTCCCTGCCTATATATCTATCTGTCAAGATGCCTCCTAAATGTTGCTATATATCCACCTCCACTGCCTCCTCTGGCAATGCATTCCAGGCATGTACCGCCCTCTGTGTAAAAAACTGGCTTCCAGCCAGAGCCCGGAGCAGATCCCATGCCAGTGTTTGCTAAAAGTCCACAGGATCTACAAAAAGTTTGATGCATTTGGGGATTCTGGTAAGTATTTCTGAAGCTGAAATTCAATTTTGACATTTGGAAGTTTGATCTACTTCTTTAAAAGTGCGAATGAGACTGCAAAAATGTAACAAAACCCTGTGGGTGCTGGAAGTTTGAAATGAAGCGAATATACAACAGGCTAGGCAGCCTCTGTTAAGCAAGAAAATTAAAGAGAAACTTTACTTTGTTTCTCTTGCCACAGGTGGATCTAAAAGTTAAAGTTCTAATTTGGAGGAAGGCCAATTTTGACAGTACTAGGCAAGAACTTTCAAAAGTTGATTGGGGCGGATGTTTGCAGGTAAAAGGACGGTGTGAAAATGGGAAGCCTTCAAAAAACGAGATAACGAGAGCCCAGAGACAGTTTGTTTCTGTTAGGGTGAAGGGCAAGTCTGGTAGGTGTAGGGAATGCTAGATGACTGGAGAAATTAGGTTTTGGTCAAGAATAAGAATGAAGCATATGTCAGATATAGTCAGCAGAAATCGAGTGATTCTCTAAAAGACTATAAAGGCAGTGGGAGTATACTTAAGAGGGAAATCAGGTTGGCAAAAAGGGGACATGAGGTAGCTTTGACAAATATGGTTAAGAAGAATCCAAAGGGATTCTACAAATATATTAAAGACAAAAGGGTAACTAGGGAGAGAATAGGATCCCTTGAAGATCAGTGTGTGGAACTGCAGGAGATGGGGGAGATACTGAAAAGTATTTTGCATCAGTGTTTACTGTGGAGAAAGATATGGAAGCTAAAAAAAAATGGGGAAATGAATTGTGACATCATGAAAAATGTCCATATTACAGAGAAGGAGGTAATGGGCGTCTTAAAATGCATAAAGGTGATAAATCCCCGAGACCTGATCAGGTGTACCCTAAAACTCTGTAGGAAGCTAGGGACGTTAGGGACATGTGACCCTCACTGAGATATTTGTATCATTGATAGCCACAGGTGAGGTGCTAGAAGACTGCATGTTGGCTAAGTGGTGTCACTATTTAAGAAAGGTGATAAGGAAAAGCCAGAGAACTATAGACCGATGAGCCTGACATAGGTGGTGGGCAAGTTGTTGGAAGGGATCCTGAGGTACAGGATTTATATGTATTTGGAAAGGCAGGACTGATTAGGTATACTCAACTTGGCTTTGTGTGTGGGAAATCGTGTCTCACAAACTTGAGTATTTTGAAGAAGTAACAAAGAGGATTGGTGAAGGCAGAGCAGTGTACGATATTTATATGGACTTCAGTGAGGCGTTCAACAAGGTTCCTCTTGGTAGACTGGTTAGCAAGGTTAGATCACATGGAATACAGGGAGAACTAACTATTGAGATATGATATGCACTTGCTTGAAGGTAGGAGACAGAAGGTGGTGGTGACGGTTGCTTTTCTGCCTGGAAGCCTGTGACCAGACCAGCGGTGTGCCACAAGGATCGGTGCTGGGTCCATTGCTTTTCATCATTTATATAAATGATTTTGATGTGAACATCGGTGGTATGGTTGGTAAGTTTGCAAGTGACACCAGTGGACAGCAAAGAAAGTTACCTCAGAGTATAACGCGATCTTGATCAGATGGGCCAATGAGCCGAGGAGTGGCAGATGGAGTTTAATATAGATAAACGTGAGGTGCTGCATTTTGGAAAGGCAAACCAGGGCAGGTGTTATACACTTAATGGGAAGGTCCTGGGAAGGAGTGTTACTGAACAAAGAGACCTTGGAGTGCAGGTTCATAGTTCCCTAAAAGTGGAGTCACAGTTAGATAGGATAGTGAAGAAGGTGTTTAGTAAACTTGGCTTTATTGGTCAGTGCATTGAACATAGGAGTTGGGAGGTCACGTTGTGGCTGTACAGGACATTGGTTAGACCACTTTTGGAATACTGCATGCAATTCTGGTCTCCCTGCTGTAGGAAGGATGTTGTGAAACTTGAAAGGGTTCAGAAAAGATTTACAAGGATGTTACCAGAGTTGGAGGGTTTGAGCTATAGGGAGAGGCTGAATAGACTGGGGATATTTTCCCTGGAGTGTCGGAGGCTGGGGTGTGACATGTAGAGGTTTGTTAAATCATGAGGGATATGGATAGGGTTAATAGCCAAGGTCTTTTACCTGGGGTGGGGGTGTCCAAAACTAGAGGATATAAGTTTAAGGTGAGAGGGGAAAGATTTAAAAGGGACCTAAGGGGCAATATTTTCATGCAGAGGATGGTGCATGTCTGGAACAAGCTGCAGAGGAGGTGGTGGAGGCTGATACAATTACAACATTTAAAAGACGTCCAGATGAGTATATGAATAGGAAGGGTTTAGGGCGATATGGGCCAAATGCTGGCAAATGGGACTAGATTAATTTAAGATATCTGGTTGGCGTGGATGAATTGGACCAAAGGGTCTGTTTCTGTGCTGTATAAACTCTAAGACTCTATGACTCTCATCTTCTTTAAACTTACGCCCTTTTACCTTGAACCTATGTTCCCTAGTAATTGACTTTTCTACCCAATGGATTCCAACTATCTATTCTATCCATGCCTCTTGTAATTTCGTAAATTTCTATCAGGTCTCCCCTCATCCTTCAATGTTCAAGTGAAAACAAACCAAGAGTGTCCAATCTCTCCTCATTGCTGAAACCCCGCAAACCAGGCAATATCCTGGTAAACCATTTCTGTACCCTCTCCAAAATCTCTATATTCTTCTGGTAGCGTAATGACTAGAGCTGTGCACAATATTCCAAAGGTGGCCCAACTAAAGTTCTATACAGCTGGAAACTGACTTACACACTTTTATATTCTCTGCCCCAATTGATGAAGGCAAGCATGCTATATGCCTTCTTGACCATCTTATCCAGTTGTGTTGCTGCTTTCAGGCACTGTGGACTTGTATGAGGTGATCTGCATTATTGCTCACCATAGGGCATGTTTGTTGCCAACTTCCGCTTTTAAAGTAGACATTAGGAGGGATAAAAGGGACCTTGAAATGTCTTGGCAAATGGGATTAAGGAAAATCCCAAGGCATTCTTACATATATAAGGAGCAAGAGGGTATGTTCACACTGTCACTGGTGCGGACACGCATGGACACTTGCATAAATTCGTCTGCTCACGCACAGAAACATTCCAAACTTGCACAAACAAATAACCTTCTGCTGCATTTAGAAAAAGAATAACAGTTTGTACTATTTGTGAAACCCTTTGGGCAGATTGCACAGTTCACCCAGTTCATTGCTTTTTCTCACAGACCTTTTATCTCTTTCAAAAGGAACCTAGCTTTTATTTCTTATATCAAGCAATGGGGTGACACAATGGCTAGCACTGCTGCCTCACAGCGCCAGGGACCCTGGTTCAGTTCCACCTTTGGGCGGAATTTGTCTGTGTCGAATTTGTACATTCTCCCTGCATGGGTTTCCTCCCACAGTCCAAAGATGTGCAGGTCAGGTGGATTAGCATGGGAAATGCAGGATTACAGGGATAGGGTAGGGGGGCAAGTCTGGATGGAGCATCAGTGTGAACTTGTTAAAATGAATAGCCAATTTCCACACTGTAGGGATTCTAAGGATTTAAAGTTTTTTTGTAAACATTAAATGTTTTGCTTAATGAGACAAGGGTTGGTAATTCTAGAGAAAGTAGTACTGTTTTCTTTGGTAACCCAATTATCAACATGAATTGATGTTAAGTAAGGTACAGCATGGTTACATGCAGAGTTAAACTACCCCTATACTTCCTAATGATGTGGCTCAGTCGTGATGCTAAGATTAATGGAGCTCTTGCTCTCAAGCAAGTGCAGCGAAGGTTTACCAGGCTGATTCCAGGGATGGCGGGTCTGATGTATGAGGAGACATTGACTAGGTTAGGATTATTTTTGCTAGGGGTCAGACGAATGAGGGGGGATCTCACAGAGACTTATAAAATTCTAACAGGACTGGACAGGGTAGATGCAGGGAGGATGTTTCCGATGGTGGTTGTGTCCAGAACCAGAGGTCATGGTACTTGGATTTGGGTTAGATGATTTAGGACAGAGATGAGGAGACATTTCTTCACCCAAAGAGTGGGGAGCCTGTGGAATTCCTTACCACAGGAAGTAGTTGATGCCAAAACATTGAATGTTTTCAAGCGGCAACTAGATATAACACTTGGGGTGCATGGGATCAAAGGTTATGGGGAGAAAGCAGGATTAGACTATTGAGTTGGACAATCAGCCATGATCATAAAGAACGGCAAAGCAGGTTTGAAGGGCCAAATGGCCTCCTCCTGCTCCTATCTTCTACGTTTCTATGTAACTAGTGCAGACAGAAGCATAAGACTGCAATAGGGTTATGAAAGATTAGGTGAGTGGGCGATTGTGTGACAGATGGATTTCACCAGCATGAGTTGATTCATTTTGGATGAAAAATGAGGGGATAGATCTAAGCATCAATGAAATGATAAAGAGCAAAGATCAGTGGAGGTCTAATGAGATAGGAGAATCTGCATATATAGTTCATTAAAAGGTAGCAGTGAGGTACAAAAACAGAGAAAAAATTAAAATGGCTAATGGAATTTGTCTTTTTAACTAAAAGGCTGGAATGTAAATTAGGCGAAGATTTTGGTGACAGCTGTACAAAGCCATAGTTAAAACACAACGAGTACTGGAGTGCAATGTAAATTTAGAACAATGTGTCTTTGAAGGATAAATCAATCTTGGAAGGAGATGTAATATTGATTCATCAGAACATAACTGTGGGTCCAAGGATTCAGCAATGAGACCAGGGTTATTCCTTAGCCTGAGTGATTTGACTGTGGCTTATCAAATTTTGTAAGAATTTGATGGGGGATATAGACGGTGACCTGTTGCAATAATGAGGGTCAGCTCAGAATGGAGTGGGTAAACAAAGACTGGGGTCAGGCTGTTAAGGCGAGAAGTTAGTAAATGGAAAGGGTGGTTGAAGGGTGGAATTCTTTTCCACAAAGAAAAATAAATGTTGGGTCAATCAATCATTTTAAATCTGGGATCGATGGAGGTTTGCTAGCCTGAGCATATTAAAGGAGATGGAGCCAAGTTGGGTGCATGGACTTAAGGTGCAGATCAGTCATGATTTTGGTAAAAGGCATAGAACAGGCTCAGGAAACGGGGGCTGAATAGTTTACCCAGACTGAGGGGTCTAGATAGATTAGACAGAGGTAAAACAGTTCCCATTAATACAAGGATTAAGAATGGGAGGCCACAGGTTTAAGTAACTGGCAAAAGAAACAACGGAGATATAGCAATACTTTTCTCATAGCAATGCTTGATAAGCAGATGTTTATGTATTGATTCAGGCTATAGAAGACTTTCAGAGATTACAACCCTATTATTGTTATAGATCAGTTCAAGCAGTAGTTTCATCCCTCCCTTCTGGATCCTTTGCCTATGTAGAAGCCAAGTCTCATGCTGGGGGATGTCCACATTGCCAACATAGCAGTAACAGAAATCGAAACAACAAGGGGAGGAAATGAGGGAGGGACTAAATCAAAATGGAGTCAGTGGGGAAAATAATAAACCCCAGCTTGTGTGGAGTCCACCTCTCTCTAAAAGCTTTGAAAAAGTACCAACTGTTTGTTCTTTTTAGAACCACCATCAAATTAATTAATTAAAATACAAAACAATATGACAAAACATAAAAAGGCGGGGAAAACAAGGGAGGGGTGAAATCAACATGGTGTTGAAAGAGAAATAATGCAAAGGCAAACCCCAATTCTTCTAATCAACACATTCAGACATGCTATGTTGCATGACTGGGGTAGATGGGATATGAACATACACCCTCTGGACCTGATGCAGGGACACTACCACAGCACCACAAGTCCCTTGAAATCACAGGTCTTTTCCTTCTCAATCGACACATTGAAGCAGAAATCGGATTATTCTCTGAAAAGGAAGAAGGTGCAGGGAAGAAGGAGGGGAATGGCATTGCTTATTTGGAGAGCCAGCCCAGACATGAGTGGGCAGAATGGCCTCTTTCAGAGCAGTATCCATTCTGTGAAGCTGTGAGGAGCTCAGGTGTGATTCTATCTGAGGGAGATACCAGTCTAGTGCAGAGTAGAGATAGCTCAGTGCTCTGGGCTCACGCCACCAGGAGCTGGACTGAGACTGGCTGCACTGATATCTGGGATCCTCACAGAGAGGGATAAAAACAGTTCAATCCCACGGTCAGACCTGAGGAGTGCAGGGCCAAAGGCCAATAGCTCATCTCGTCTAAAATCCAATTTTGCCTTTGAGAAGGCAGCATTACCTTTGATCGGTGGACTTCACCCTCATCATCTTCACCTCCGACTCCAAGGATTTTCCTACTCTTCAGCCGGCTGACCAGGTCAGTCTGGCTGTGTTTCTTCAGCAGGGAGCCGTGTGGTTTGACAGCCATCCTTATCGTCCCCACCTCACCCCCTTACTCCACGATACCACTCACTCCTGTCACAAACCTAAACCTGAAACAGAAAAACAAAGAGAGAGCTCGGAGGTTTTATCCCAAGGTACAGTGGTAATAGAGAGTGTATTCATTATTTAACATCAAATTGATGTATTATTTATAATATTTAAGCACTAAAGCCAGTTCAGACTTTCAGCCACAAGCCCCTGAAGTCTTACGTTTGCCTTAAAATGCAATACAATTGCTGTATTACAGCATTATCAACTTACATCAATAAAGCATCTTTCATTACCTTAGACGTCTCAGAGATTCAAAGCCAGTCACATGGTTTAGAAGTAAAAAAATAGAAAGTGCTGGAAATACTCAGCAGCTTCTGTGCAAAGAGAAACGGGGTTAATGCATCAGATCACATACCTCTGACCAGAACTGCAATTTTGATGAAAAATCACAGATGTGAAACATTAACTCTGTTTCTCTCTCTATGGATGCTGTCTGAACTGCTGAGCACTTCCATACTTTCTGTGCTTATGTTAGATTTCTGGCATCTGTGGTGTTTTTTTTACAACAGGTTTGAAGTATTTATTTTTACACATTTATGGGGTCTGGGCGTCACTGACTGGGACAGGATTTATTGCCTGTCCCTAATTACCCATGAGAAAGTAGGGGATGAGCTGCCTTCTTGAACTGCCACAGTCCATGTGCTGTCGGTTAACCCACAATGCCCTTAAGGAAGGAATTCCAGGATTTTGACCCAGCAACAGTGAAGGAACGGCAATATATTTCCAGGACAGTGAGTGTCTTGGAGGGGAAATTGTGGGTAGTGGTGTTCCCATGTATCTGCTGCCCTTGTCCTTCCAGGAGGCTGTGGTCATGGGTTTGGAAGGTGCTGTCTGAGGAGCCTTGGTGAATTTCTGCAGTACGTCTTGTAAATGGTATGTTCTGCTGCCATTGTAGTTGCTGTTGTAATGGAAGAAACACCACAACAAATTTACACACAGAAATATCCCACAATCAGCAGAGTATGATAACCAGATAATTTATTTTCAACTGAATGTTTGGGGGAATAATGTGTCTTTGGGTTGGAGTGGTGGTAAATATTAACCAGGACACAAGAAAGAAGTCCTCTATAAAATAGTCCCCATATGATTTTTTACATGATCTGCTTTAAAGTCTCATCTGAAAAGACTGGGCCTCCAACAATGCAGCACCCCCACAGCTCTGCACCAGGAGAGTCAGCCAGGATTTTGCACTCAAATGGGACTGGTGAACCTCCAGCCTTGCCAGGGGAAAACAGAGATAGTAAATGTGCAAGTTCTGCCCCAAAGTCAGCCAGTCGTTTCTGAAGATCAGCAACGTAAAGGTTATAAGGCAAGTAATAGTGCCTGGGGCTCACATCAAAGGTTGTGGTGCCTCCCTGCTTAACATTTACAAAATGAGAGGGTGAATTTCAGATATAACAAGGTGCAGAGCTGGATGAACACAGCAGGCCAAGCAGCATCAGAGGAGCAGGAAGGCTGACGTTTTGGGCCTAGACCCTTCTTCAGAAAGTGGATTTCAGCCCAGGCAGCACGCATGACTCAAAGCAATTCCCAGTGATGGTTAAATTCCACATCAAACACGTCAAGGAGCTCAGCTTTAATACGCTTTGGGATCCAGCATTATCTGCTAGCTTCAATGCTGCAAGCACCCCATCAATAATTGTTTTGTTTTTCCCATTTTGTGAATTTGTTTCTAAATGTCATGGCTCCTATCTGTTTTTCGTGGCAATATGGAAAAGAAAGACCTACAGTGCTGTGTACCTAATGGAGCCTGAGGCAACATCAGTTAAGTGGCAGAATTAGTCATGAAGCAACTACAGTGATGACACAAAACCAAATCAAATTGAAAGCTGTTTGCTAAACTTACAAATTTTCTGATCTTTTCTGCAAAAAGTTTCATCCTTTGTATTCCCCGCTACCCCACTCCTTCTGCCGCAGGTTTCAACCTGTTCTTTGAAACTACTTCAGTGGCCTTCAAAATGTTTTGGGATGCTCCAAGGTCTGAAAGGCACTATACAAATACAGGACAGTCACTCTTCTTATTCAGTCCTACTGTGCAAGAGCTCTAAAGAAGTTGCATTGGGACTTAAAACGTAGGAGCTGGCAGAGGCCATTTGGTCTGTTGAGCACTTTGGAAGGAAAAATAGAGGTGTAGACTATTTTCTAAACTGTGAAAGACTTTGGAAATCTAAGCACTAAGGGATTGGGAGTCCTAGTTTGGGATTTTCTTAAAGTTAACGTGCAGGTAGTTAGGAAGGCAAATGCAATGTTAGCATTCATTCAAGAGGATACAAGAGCAGGGATGTACTGCTGAGGCTGCATGAGACTCTGGTCAGACCACATTTGGAACATTGAAAGCAGTTTTGAGCCCTATATCTAAGGAAGGATGTGCTGGTGGTGGAGGGGGTTCCAGAGAAGGTTTACAAAAATGATCCGGGGAATGAAGGGCTTGTCATATGAGGAGCAACTGAGGATTGTGGGTCTGTACTTGGTGGAGTTTAGAAGGATGAGGGGAGATGGGATTGAAACTTACAGAAATAGCAGATTTTGTTGGGTTTTTGGGTTCTTAATGACTTCCAAATCAATGACTAAGCCTTCAACACTCTGAAGTATAGAATTCCAAAGGTTCACCACCCTCTGAGTGAAGGAATTCCTCCTTATCTCTATCCTAAATGCTCTCCTTTTATTCTGAGACCGTGTCCCTTAGGATCTAAATCCCTTTCCCCCCAAACAATGAGCAGCAACAACCATTCTGCATCCACTCTGTTGAACCCTGTACAAATTTCCCTTCCTCCTCTGTGTTTGAATCCAGTCAACACTAACATGAATAAAATCTTTTCTCCCTGAAGACTTTCACTGTGAGATGGGTTTGCTTAGCCCTGCTCCTACTTCTAAGATACATAACTTGGTTCATAATTGACATTCATATGGTGACATCCCATTGAGAATTGTCAGCTTAAGTGCTGTGGGCAGTAGCAGCTCCTGGTATCTTGGTAATGTCACCAGGCTAGTAAATCACTGGCTCAAGCTCGTACCTTGGGAACGTGTGTTCAAATCCCACTGTGTTAGACTTTTATATTCAATTAACAAATCTGGAAGATTAAGCTACTGTTGCAAGATCCCATCTAGTTTACTAATACTCATCAGGGAAGGAAATCTACCATCCTTACCTGGTCTAGCCCATTTGTAACTCCAGGACCACAGCAGTATAGCTGCCTCCTATCTGCCGTCTGGGAAGTCCTACTCCAAAGGTAATTAGAGATGGGTTATAAATGCTGGCCATGCCAGTGGTAGCAACATCCCATGAACGAATTAAGGCGAAAAGTAGGAATGTCACACTGGCACAGTGCCGAGTGTACTTTGACCTTCAGGAACTTTACAACGTATGTAACTCATTTTCCCCTCCACTGCTGAGGCTGGAAGTGCACCAAAACTCAAATTTTTTTCCCTCAATTTGACCGGGGGTGGTGGGATCAGGGATCCAGTTGTAGGGGCATTGTCCAACCTTCAGAGAGAACACAGAACATAGAACATAGAACAGTACAGCACAGTACAGGCCCTTCGGCCCACGATGTTGTGCCGACCTATTATCCTATTAAGATCAAGCTACCCTGCATACCCTACATTTTGCTATCCTCCACATACCTATCCAAGAGTCACTTAAAAGTCTCTAAAATATCTGACTCCACTACCACTGCCGGCAGTGCATTCCACAGAGATTGTGTCAGTATGCATTCTTCATGTGCAATCCTAGCCCATCATGTCATCATGCTGTTTAATCAGGGTACGGTTTATAGGTGATCCCAAACTGGCCTCATCTGACCAGCATTTAGATTCATAGCATCATAGAGATCTGTAGCACAGGAAAACCCCCTTCGGCCCATTGATTCTACGCCATTTAAAAGTGACTACCAAACTATTCTATTCTCATTTTCCATTGCCTTGCATGCCTTGGTATTGCATGTGCACATCTAAAAACTTATTAAATGTTATGAGGGTTTCTGTCTCTACCACCCTTGCAGACAGTGAGATCAAGATATCCACCACCCTCTGAGTGAACAAAATGTTCCTCACATTCCCTCAAAACCTCCTACCCCTTACCTTAAATCCATGTCCCCTCGTCACTAAATCCTTCCATCAAGTGGAAACATTTCTTCTTGTCTACGCTGTCTGTGCTTGTCGTAATTTTATGCATCTCAATCATGTTCCTATGCTCCAGTCTCCTCTGCTCCAAGGAAAACAGCCCCAGTCTATCCAATCTCTCTTCATAACTAAAACACTCCAGCCCAGGCAACCCCCTGGTAAATCTCTTCTGCACCCTTTCCAGTGCAACCACATCCCTCTGATGATGTGGATTCCAGAACTGCACACAATACTCTAGCTGTGGCCTGACCAACTTTTTATATAGTTCCAGCCTAACACCCATCCTCTTAAACTCTATGCCTCCCACCTTTTACCTTAAATCTATGCCATAGTTTCAGGAGGTTGCTGGACAGTAATCAAAATCTGAACTAGCTGACAGAGAATCAACCTATGATACGCCATATCTCAGTATAGTGTGGCATTGCACTGGATGGTGAGAAAGAAAGGACTTGCATTTATATAGCACCTTTCTTAACCTCAGGAAATTCTCAAAGCTCCCGATAGACAATGACGTAATCTGAACTGCAGGAATTGCTGCAAGGTAGGAAAGCCGGCTGGTGATTTGCACTCAGGAAGATCCCACAAAGAGCCGCACGATAGTGATCATGTATGTTTTAGTGATGCTGACCAAGGGATAACTTGACTAGGGAGACCTCCCCTGAATTTTCTTGAAATAGTGCCACAGGATTCTCACTGTATCTGGCCAAGAAGGTGTCATCCAACAGACGCCATCTCCAACCATACAGTACTCCCTCAGTACCATGGTGTAAAAATAATTCTGACTATGCAGACCTGGAGTATAGACACACAACCTGCATAAAGGAGCAAGAGAGACACATTGCCTGGTGCCATTAGTAAATACACTGATATCCTATCATTTGCTTTCAGCTGGGTCAGTTTCCACAGCTTGTGATAACATGGGAAGCTTTTAGTTCGAATCAACAACAAAACAGGAAAGTAATTAAAAGCTTCTTCCACTGGGAGCCCAAGCTTTTGCTGGCACTCATCAGAGATAACAACTGATATAAATATTTCATGAGAGAGTCAAAGCATTCTGTACATACCTTCTTACTTGTGGTCAGGATTCACGTAAAAGTTTCTAAATTTAACATGCTGTAATGATTCTCCTTCGCTGCGTTCCCAAAGGCTGGTCTTGCTGTGGGTTCTTGTGAGTGTTCAAGACAGACAGCAACAGTGAGATACAGGCAGAGACACAACCTTACCTTAAAGTGTGGAATAGACGTGCAGTTCGGTGCACTCCTCTGATCTCTTTGCTGAAGTAAATTTTGTGAAAGGTTCCTGACGTGAATGCTCCCATCTTTCCCTGTTGCAGTTAATACACCTGGGGGATCAAAGTACCTGTTCAACTCATAAAATCCAGACTAACTGGCATGGCAAGCTGTGCCTACATAAAACAAATGAGACAAAGTAGTGTCTGCCCTCCCTAAACCAGCATCGACTCCCACAGACTATACCTTGATGTTAAAGTCCTCACTCTTTTATTCAAATCCCTTTATGGTTTCAGACCTACCCTGTTTCTGCAATGGCCTCCACACTCTTTGGCCTCTGAGACATCCGTTCTCCTCCATTTTTTGCGCAATGTGTTTGTTTTGCCATCGATGGCTGAGCCTTTGTTTGTCTGGACTCCTGAGCTCTGAAATTTCCTCCCAAAACACCTTCCACCTCACTCTCCCCCTCTAAGAAGCTCCTCAGAAAGGTACCTGTACTGAATGAGCATTTGGATACCTGCGCTAATATCTTCTTTTGTGACTCACTGTCAAATGTTGATTAATAGTACTCCTGTGAAACGCCGTGGGATTTGCACTGCAAAGGTGCTTTATGAATGCAATTTTTTTGTTGCTGGGTTGGGTTAATGGATCTGTTCAAAAAGGCAAAGAACTGCACTTCCTTGTATACAGTCTGAAAGGGATATGTGTCTGAGCATGTTTCAACACTTTGAATTGTTGTTTTCTAACTGGCAAGATGTTTGTGTTGTTTTCTCTCTCCCCGTCTCTCACTCTTTTTACTCATTATCTGATGATAAATCTCACGCTGGATTATGGTTCCTTAAGCATTGCCCATTAAACAAGGTCTCGCTCAACTTGGGGTAATGTTCCCAGCCCTGAACATTTTGTGACCTGCTGATGCCATCACAGTGCCAACTTCCTTCACACCCTGGGCAGCAGCCTTTGTGATCACACAGCATGTTTGGTCACCTCTTGCATCTGAGCCGGAAGATCATGCGTTCAAGTCCTGCTGTGGGCCTTGAGTGCAACAAGCCAAACTGATGATCCAGTGCTGTATGGAAGGAGTACTGTATTGTTGGCAGTATTGCCATTCAGATGAGTCTTAAAACAAGCTTGTGCCTGCCCTTTCAGAGATCCCATGGTGTTATTTTGATACAGAGCAAAGGTGTTCTCCTTGATAGTGTTCTCCCAGCCAAAATGTATCCCTCATTTGAAGTCACAAAAACAAATTATGTGCTCTTTGAGGAAGCTTGCTGTATGCAAATTGGCCGCATATTTCCTACACTATAACAGTGACTATACTTCAAAAGTAAAACTGCTTTGTTGGCTGTAGGTCTGCAATTGTGAAAGGTGCTATGTGAATGCACATTTTTCTTCTCATTACTAGGAGATTGCTGCCCTTTATGATGGATGTGTGGCTGAGCTTGTGGCAGTTGTCTGTTTACAGTTGCAGTGGGAAAAGGAAGGTTCTTTTATGTGGTTTGTGTACACAGAGGGGTGTCTTTTCTGATCTTTCGCAGATCTAAGATACAGAAACAGAAGAGAAATCCACTGCAGCTTGAGGCAGTCTCTGTGCAGTTCAAAGGGAACTCTGCACTATCGCAGGTGCTGTCTTTCAGATGAAATGTTGAAGTGAGAGCCTGTCTGGTCTCTCAAGTGCAGGTAAAGATCCCACAGCAACTATATTATGGAGGTTGTCCGAAATACCCTGATGTCCTGGACAATGTTTATCGTTCAAACAGCATCCCTAGAACAGATGATCTGACTGTTATCATGATACCATTTGTGGGAACTTGCTGCACACGCATTTCTCACATTCCAACAGAGACTAAAGCCTGTCCACCATCTACAAGGCACAAGTCAGGAATGTGATGGAATACTCCCCACTTGTCTGGAAGAGTACAGTTCCAACAACACTCAAGGAGCTCTACACCATCCAGGACAAAGTAGTCCGCTTGATTGGGGCCACATCCGCCACCTTCTACTTTTGCCACCTCCATTGCCAATGCACAGTGTCAACAGTTGCTTGATCTACAGTAAGATGCACTGCAACAACTCGCCAAGCATCCTTAGACAGCACCTTCCAAACCTGTGCCCTCTACCACCTGGAAGTACAAGGGGCAGAAGATGCAAGTTCCCCACCAAGCCGCACACCATCATTACTTAGAAATATGTCATTGTTCCTTCACTGTCATTGGGTCAAAATCCTGAACATATAGAATCATAGAGTCATATAGCACAGAAACAGATCCTTCAGTCCAATCAGTCCATGCCTACCATAATCCCATGCTAAGTTAATGCCACCTGCCTGCACTTGGCCCATATTGCTCCAAACAGTTCTTATTCATGTACTTATCTACATATCTTTTAAATCTTGTAACTGTACCTGCATCCACCACTTCCTCTGGAAGCTCATTCCACACACAAATCACTCCCTGTGTAAAAAAACTGCCCCTCATGTCTTTTTAAAATCTTTCTCCTTTCACTTTAAAATATGCCCCCTACTCTTGAAATCCCCACTCTAGGAAAAGGGCACCTGCCATTCACCATATCTATCTATACCCCCCATTGTTTAGTAAGCTTCTATAGGATAACTCTCAACCTCCTATGCTCCAGTGAAAAAAGTCCCAACCTATCCAGCCTCTCCCTTATAACTCAAACCCTCCATTCCCAGCAACATCCTGGTAAATCTCTTCTGAACCCTCTCCAGCTTAATAATATTCTTCCTATAACAGGGAGACCAGAACTGGACACAGTTCTCCAGAAGAGACCTCACTAAGGTCCTGTACAACTTCAACGTAACTTCCTCCCTAAAAGCATTGAGGATGTATTCGCACCAAATGCACTGCAGCAGTTCAAGAAGGAAGCTCACCACCTTCTCAAGGGCAATTAGGGACAGGCAATAAAAGCTGGCCTAGTCTATAATATAAAATCCCATTAACAAACAAGTAAAAATACTGCTCTTCGTTGTAATGTACTTTGAGACATAGGGAGGCCATGAAAGGTTCACTATTGTCCTTTAGGGAAGAAAACTGCCATGCTTACCTGGTCTGGCCTACATGTGACTCCAGACCCACAGCAATGTAGTTGACTCTTAACTGCCCCCTGAACAGTTAGGGATGGGCAATAAATGCTGCCTGGCCAGCAACGCCCCCACCCCATGAATGAATAAAGAAAAAAAATCAATGAAAGGCTTTACAGTATTAGAAGGTAGGCATTTAAACTGATGTCAGGCTCAATAAAGGTTCTGAGGAAGGGTCACTGGACCCGAAACGTTAACTCTGATTTCTCTCCACAGATGCTGTCAGACCTGCTGAGCTTTTTCCAGCAATTTTTGTTTTTGTGTCGGTACTGGATTAACCCAGTAGATCACTGAGGAACCTTTCTATCCCAGAAAAGTTCCAACAGAACAGCACAGAGTTAGATAAACATTTTTTTCTTCGGGAAAAAAACACAGCCTCCTGTTCTCTGCCACCTGCTTGTGTTTATTTTTCATTACTGTCACAGCGTGACTTGGGAGCTGCAGTTGCAGACTCACTGCGGGGTGTCTAACAGCGAAAATGGGAGTTCAGGGAATGTTGAGTGCAAGCATAATTGAGATGCAGTTGAGATCAGGTATGTGGGTCATCGCTGAGGGTTGCAATGACTGCAGATGTCCTGGGGAGTAGCCAGATTGAAATTGCTTTTGTTTCAAATGAATAAAACAGTCGGAGTCCAGTTCGACAACCAAACGGATCATTTTCTCATTAGGAATTTTCACATCAGTTTCGTTTCTTACCATCTTGTGAAACTACAAAAAAACCACTGTATTTTAAAGTGCCTTTAACATAGTAACCTGTATTTATGTAGTGCTTTTAACATAGTAAGTCCTGAGGCAAGAAAATTTAACTGGCATGCAGGGATAAGTATGGCTAGTGTCCAAAGTGTTGTTCAAAAATTCAACATAAAGCGGGGGAGGAAATAAAGAGCTGTAAACATAAACACATTCCAGAGATTAAGGCCCACCTGAGGACTCTGCCTCCAATGGTAGTGTAGTTTAAGTTGGGGATGCTCAAGAGGCCAGAATTAAATGAAACCTTGGAAGGTTTTGTGAGTCTGGCGGAGGTTACAGATATAGAAAGGGATGAGACCATGGAGAGATTTGAAAACGAAGATGAAAATTTTAAAATTCAGTTGTTTTCAGACCAGGAGCCAATGTCGTTTGGAGGCTTTGGGAGGTGTTGGGTATGGGGTTTGGTGCATAAGCTGCATCATTTGTAATTTAGGTTGTTTAACTTTTCAACCCATCACTTTATCTTTAAGATGTCTTATTGTTCTTGTTACACATTTAGGAAATGGGGGTGTATTGGGAGCATGGTGTCATAGAATCCCTACAGAGTGGAAACCGGCCATTCGGCCTATCAAGTCCACACCAACCCTCCAAAGAGCATACCACCACACCCACCCCCGATCCCTCCATTTCCTGTGCCTAATCGACCTAGCCTACGCAACCCTGGAGATTATGGTCAATTTAGCGAGGCCAACCCACCTAACCCTGGAGACTATGTGCAATTTATTATGGCTGATCCACCTAACCTGCACATCTTTGAACTGTGGCGGAAAACCAGAACACCTGGAGAAAACCCACGTAAGCACAGAGAGGACGTGCAAACTCCACACAGACAGTCACTCGAGGCTGGAATTGAACATGGCTCCCTGGCGTTGTGAGGCAGCAGTGCTAATTGGGCAATTAGGTTTAGGCAATAAATGCTGGCCAAGCCAGTAATGCCCATATCCCACGAATGAATAAAGGAAGGAAAAAGACTAAGACCGATCTAATTGTAGCCTCCAACCCAAATACCTACCAACCCTTAGCTGATAACTTTTAACTCCCTAGTTAGTCAACAATCTCTGCCTTACAAATAATCAAAAACTTTAATCAATTGTACTGTGGGGAAGGGGTGCGGAGGAGGGACAGAACTTTATAGTTGATGTCACTCCACGGGAGCTGATATATTTCTGTTTCAAACCAGTCCTGCCATTAGGCAGGCGTCTGATCTCCAATCAAGCTGTGTGTCACTAGATTACAGCTCCTGTGATTTTATCAGAAAGCAGCAGATTCTCGATTCTCTCAATCGATTCTCTTTTTTCCACTGCACTACAACCCACTCCAGGACCGGGATGTCTTTGGAGGATCAACATTACTTGGGGATAAAATGAAAGATTCCTGCCCCGCACTGTCCTACTACTACAGGAGAGGTAATGATAATTACAGCAAACACAGAAAAGGTTAGAGAAATTAATGTTTCAAGTTTCTTCTTCAGAACTGAAAAATTCCAGTCATACCAAACTCAAAATGTTAACTCTATTTTTCTCTCCACAGATGCTGCC